AAAAAAACGCTGTTAAAGGGCAAAAAAGGTAACGCAATGCCGCGAAATTCCCGCTTTTTTTTTTCTTTTGCTATATTCAGTTATAATTTTCTTATAGCTGGGTGTATTTAGTGTAATAAAGGCACTTATAAAGTTCTAAGTTTTCCTGTATACATTCCTGGTTGCACATGTAGACAAAACTAACGTGACCATTATCTCGTCACGACTTTTAAAGTCTAATTTTTACTTTGAAAAATCTTTATAAATGCTTTGAAATTATACCAGAGGCTTTTCTTGTTAACGTACACTAGTCTGTTACTTAGTTTGGTCGTGACGTTATTACCTTTGATATTTCTATACAAATATTATTTTAATTGACTAATAACCCTATAAATAACCCCAGAAAATCAAGGTCACAGTAAAAATAGCTTTTTGTTTGATTATTAAACATCTAAGAAGCTCGTGGACTTTTATGGACTGTATAATTTCTATCTTTTATTCATGGCGACTGCCTTAATCAAATTTCTCAGACGTTCAAGCCACGTTCGATAACATTTTGAATATTTTAAAACTCGTGATGATTTTATTGGTATTGATTTTAGACGTCGATCATTAATCTGACAAGAGAGAGAATTAAAAGTTTGCGATAATCAAACACGTACCGCTAAGTTATTAGACAGCCGTTTACTTATTCAAGAAAACCAAATCTCGTCAAGGTCATTTGAAAACTTTTAGCAACATTGAATAGAGAAAACGTCAATAAACGTATAATGTGTTGTTTTATAGAATTACTGGCTGTAGTTTCGTGACGTGTCGCTCGCTTTACACGTTAGCCTACGATTAAGAAGTACTTAAAAACAATAGCATTTTATTTGGAAAGCGTTAACTGTCGACATACAGAAAAGGGCGTGACTTCTTTACAACTCGTTATCTGCAGTAGCTGACGTTCGTGATTGATTCGAAGTCCCGCGTGCAACATTGTCAATGACAATTGGCTTAGTAATTGATTAATGCAAGCTAAAGTCCGCCAAAACAGTTCCAGGTCCTTGGCTTTGTTTTAGTTATTTTTCTTTATTAAAAATGTGTCTGGAAACGGTAATACTTAAATAGTTTTCTTTTGATCTTTCAATTAGCCTTCAATAAATGGGTCAGTTACTTTAGTTTCCTCCACCAGAGGAAAGGTTGTCAAGTGAAATTATAAAAACATTTTGAGATATTAGATAGAAATTATAGCAAATAATAATTATGATTAAAATACTTGTTTATTTTCATGTATACTCCCTATTATCCGGGTGTTTTCATGTATACTCCCTATTATTCTGGTGTTTTCATGATAACTTGTGGGAAAACACAGTTCTCTGTTTGTTATAATATCCAACGTTCTTGTGCCCGACATGGCCAGGTGGTTAGGGCGCTCGACTCGCAATCTGAGGGTCGCGGGTTCGAATCCCCGTCACACCAAACATGCTCGCCCTTTCAGCTGTGGGGGCGTTATAATGTGACGATCAATCCCACTATTCGTTGGTGAAAGAGTAGCCCAAGAGTTGGCGGTGGGTTGTGATGACTAGCTGCCTTCCCTCTAGTCTTACACTGCTAAATTTGGGACGGCTAGCGCAGATAGCCCTCGTGTAGCTTTGCGCGAAATTCAAAACAAACAATCCAACGTTCTTGTGTGTGTGTCATTTATTTTTAGTATAAGTAACTAAACAATTATGTTTTGGGTGACATTACATTGTTAGCTTACTTAAATTTCATGTTTTTTAAATGTACGTTTGCTTTATTTATTTTTATTTGACGATTTTTGTTTTTTGTCATGGAAACAGTTCTGGGACTCCTGAAGACCATTGTGGTAAAGAACATCATCAGTTTTGGAAGAAAGCGACATCTTTTAGACAATCGTTAAGAGGAATTTCTGATCCCAAGTCTTCCCGATTGGTTAGGTCTGTTTCCCAACATCAAGTTGAAAACAACGATCGGAAAGAGTGGGACCGAGAATGTGGTTCTCAGATGAACTTAAGCCTCTCTTACAACCGTAAGCAACATTTTCAGTCAAAATCCCGTTTCAGCCAGGACTTAGAACATTCAATTCTTTTGCATAAACAATCCCAATCCCTTAGTGACAATGATACCAATCCAGTCATGGCTGTTCCAAACCAAACTTGTTTTTTGGGAGAGACGAATCAAATCAGTTTAAACTCCAGTGTGACATCACTGGCAACTCAACATCTGGTATTTAATAGGTCCGAACTGGAGCACCGAACTCCCCATCAAAGGTCACCACGTAAATTAACCAAAGATTCTGGGTACGAGACCAGTGCCCAAGGAGAGTCAGACTACATCAATATAGATTATTTGGGCGAAGATGGAGAAAAGGACATTCAGACTTCCTCGCTAACCGCCGTTCGGGGATACTCCGAACCCCAAACTAGCCAATGGGCTTCAGCTCATGCTGTAGCAAGCAGCAGGTTACGTGACAGGTCCGACAAGGAAAGTAAAGAACTATCTGGATCCAGATTATCTACAAGTTGCCTTTTGTAAGTACACTTTTCATTAAACGTTTCCGTGAAGAATGCCCAAGGAGTGTGTGGTTTTTTTGTGATGATAATTATTCTTCCGTTATATAGCTAAACTTCACAAGATTATTGATATTCAGATGACACTTGTGAAAGAAAGTGTTCAAATACATAATAATCATAAAAACCAGACTATTTTCAGTCTCAGGAATACAATAAAATACCGAATAACTTCCTGTACAGGATATAAAACTCGATGAGATTGAAAACAATCTCATGCGCTCGACATATTTCGACGTTTTTACTGCGTCATTCTCAGGAGTGCAAATTTTTGCAAGAATCAGACCTATTTATACACTTACAAAGAGCCACCTATTACAATTTACATATTTTTCATATTAAAGAATTTCACGCCATTTGCCAAAAATATTTCTATCAGATACGTCATTCTAAATTTGATATTTTAAACTTATTTTTATTATATTTAGTTATCTCAATATATTTACAAATATTCATACAATGACATTTTTAGGTTGTGCTAAAACAAAAGTTTTTTTCCCAATTGAATTATGTGTTCGGTTTTATTAGTATATTCTACTATATGTGAAATAACAATAAAAGAATAAATAACTACATTACAATAATATCTATTTATACCGACAGATGGCGGTCATGTCGTAGTGGCCTCGTGATCCACAACCTGGGTATTGTTTTGTTTGTTTGTAGTTAAGCGCAAAGCTACAGTATGAGCTTCCTGTGCTGTTCCCATTACAGGTATCAAAATCCGGTTCCTAGCGTTTTACGTCCGCAGACTTACCACTGTGAATGGCCAAGGTAGTTAGGGCACTCGACTCGCAATCTGAGGGCCGTGGGTTCGAATCCCCGTCACACCAAACATGCTCGCGCTTTCAGCCGTGGGGGCATTATTATGTGACGGTCAATCCCACTATTCGTTGGTAAAAGA